ATAGAAAGGTTGGTTTCTTTTCCACCCTAGACATTCCGAATTTGTTCAAAATATGCTAATTTAAAACACAGAATTCTTTCAGTGTTCCTCCGGGGTTATTGGACATGGACTGTTTCATCAATTTAATAGTGTTCGCTTTATTTTTGTGGAAACGAAAAATGTTTTGCAAGTTATGAATCATTTCTACACTCTTTCTTCAAATATTTCTCGTATTCCAGCTGTGCGCAAGTGTTTAGTTTTCGCATCGTGTCTTTACATATTCGTAATCTAAATTTTTTTAATAAAATCAATTGGTGGTAGTTCATGATTGTGTGTGGATTAATATCACAACACTGAGTATTTGGCAATAACCTTTTTCATCTATTAAAAAACAACACTTACGGGGCAATGTTTATTGTAAGAACAACATTTTTTCTATGAATCGACATACTTTGAGCACTGTTGACGCTATTTCCATTTGAGTGAGGAAATAGCATCAATGACGTTATTTCCAAATTTTTGTTGACTTTATTTCGCTTTTGAAAACCCACCCTGGTGCGAAATAAGTCAATTGACCTTATTTCCATTGACCTTATTACCTGTCACCGAAAACAAATATAAAGTCCACGCAGGCCCAGCTCATCAAACTCCAATAACTAGCTTGCGTGGATATCACTGCAGCGATGATAACAGCAAATATTATTATTATTATTATTTTAATCAAGGTGTTTTAATCAAGTTTGTGTTATTTCACCCCCGTTGTCACACAAAGCGGAGGGATCCACAGTTTTACAGTATTTTTATGATGAGAAGTCGTTTTTCATGGCAGAGGAGATTTGCCATTGCCTGCCGAGGGTCGACCGCTATTAGAAAAAACTTTTTTCTTGTTGTTGGCTTGAACCGCTAACCACTACACCACAGCGGCCGCTGAACTAAGTATCGTTGTTAATAAAACATGGGATAAAAAACATCGATGTTTAAAACATCCTTTTATTTTATTTTGTTTTATTCTTGTTGTAATATCTTACTTAAAACAGAACGTAGCTTAAAACGTTCAATAATATTTACCCCAAAAAAAGTAAAAATATACTGGAATTCTGTTCTGGAGGAGCGAGAACAGGACTAGGCGTTTTGCTAACTTTACACCTCAGTTGTAAGCTGTTAGGCGTGACATTAAAATATTATTGTGCATAGCTATAATGTAACTTATGAGATTATTTCGTATGGTATTTTGTGAACCACTTTCCTACCTACGCTGCTTCTAGGTGCCATTTCACTAATATCTATTAAAATTGAAACACAAGTAAAAAAAATACTGACGATACGAAATGCTACAACATTCCTCGGCATGACACTTCAATGTGCAATTATGAACATCGATACAGAGCATGATAAAACTTCGGGAAGCAGCAAACAATTTTTTGAGCACTCGATGCTGTCGCAAAACTTCTATGTTTTGAAAACATCGGTTTCGATGTTGCAGACCTAACATACAGTCTAAATACTTCATCCAGGTTAATTTCTTTAACGGAGAGAATCCGTGCTCTTCAAACAAGAAACGTAGTAAACATTATTGCAGGATTTTTTGCACGGCAGGGCAATGAAGCCCTGGAAGTGGTTTTCTCTGGCCAGTGCAGCTTATGCAATCAGAAACACGAAACAGCAGAACACACACTCATAACCTTTACTAGGCCCAGACTTCGTTTCCAAGAATCACCATACCTAGAATCACAAACCCTAAATAGCAATCAGTTTAGGAATTTCACGAAGTTCCTAAGCGATACGTGGATCAAAGGAAAACCCAATGTGTGCCGTACGCGTCGCTGTTTTCACTCAAAAGAAAGAACCGACAGTTTAACGCCGCATCCGAACGGCAGATGGTTTTTATGCAAAGCTTTATTAATGGCAGAAATACACTCCGATCTTGGTCATTGCGGCCGCTATTAGGAAAAAAAAAACTTGCTGGCATGTTGCTGGGGATCGAACCTTGGCCCAACCGAGTAGAAGTGCGCACCTGTAAACGCTGCGACTGCCACAACAGAAGTACCCTTAAAAAAATAGTACTTTGTTACAGTATAATATACTATATATGTATATAGTATATTATAGTCTTTAATCACGGTAACCAGGTTACCCGCTCTCTCCTCTAAATATAAATCTAATATAATCGGCCCACACCTGTGAATGAACAGATGGAGTACCAGCTGTGCTCGTTTCAAAGGAATGTTGGTTGGTCAGTGACTGGCTCTAGGATCGAAGACTGAAGCTAGCTATTCTGAAAATCGAAGCTTTTCTGTTTTCACGCAGAAAAAATAATAGTGTGCCAGTTTTCTTTAAAAACCATGCCATTAGAAGAGCTTTCCATTTGTTGCTTCGAGGGGTTTTTTGACGTTTCGCTTTTATCGAGGACGCTTTGAAAATGAGGACGAAAGAGTTGACCAAAGAAAATTTGACGCTTGAATGTCGAAGAAACGCAAGAAACGCCGCAAAGAAAAAGTCATCCTGTAAATGCACGAGTATTTTCAATGCATTCGCAGTGGCTTAACTACGACTAACACAAATAAATCAGCAAAAGCAGACAGCATAAGCGAAGAAGAGAAATGAAATCATTTGCTTCAGCTTATA